ATGTTCATAAGCTGTACAAAATTATATTGATATGTTATAGTTAACAATGGGCATAAATGATCCTTTACCAACTAAGGCCAGATCTGAATCTAACCATTCCCAAGAATAGAGTAAGAATACATTTGATGAGAAAACTGACAAGTGTATTTGATGAGAGTACGTGTAATTGGTTTGTTGTTTTAAAATTGTGCCCTATCATGAGTCATGTTAGACTAGGGTAACAGGTTATAGTAACTTTTTAGATTTGCGTCTCTTGGAATAAGGAAATAAGGAGATTGTGAAATAAGTGTTGACCCAGTGAGCAGATAATTCTCTTTGAAATGACAATTAATTAAACAAATAAGAATCAAATTGCCAGAAGATCCACAGAACGCTTCTCTGGAAGGCCATTCCTCGAACCTATCTGCTGTTTGGCCTTTGTTGTTACAGAATGGCCACAGGAGTTGTTTCTACTCTAGGGTTTACTACAAAATGACTTCAGTCAGCTGGCCTACTTCCCTGGCTCTTTTTTCCCTCTTAAGTAATTTGAGGGGATTATGCTGCATACACTACTCCCCCAAATCTTCCTACCTACTAAAACATGTTGTACACCTAATCCACACGTGCTCTTTTTCTAATATTTTCTATTGACATAAATGGCATCAATCTAGTTGCCAAAGCCAGGATTCTAGGAGCCCCACTCACCCTCATCTCCAACCACTCTTCCCTATGGAATCTACATCCTTAGCTAAGAGAGCTCACATCTTTCCATTTCCCACCACGACTAGTGCTACCATTTAGCAATTAGAGTAATCTTTTAGGAACAATAGTTAAGATTTTATCAGGCCCCTGCTTTAAAAACAGCTTAAAGGCTTCTCACTGCTCTTCCCGAGTAACCACTTCGGTCAGTTAGCTCAGTCTACTCTCTCTCAACCTCATTTCTTGTCTAAGGAGCCATTCATAGTACCATCTCAGCTGTAGAGAGAACTCTCCCTCATTTAAACCTCCTCCGGCATTGTCTTCTTGATGAAAAGCAGAGTGTAATGAGAAAGCTGTGCTTTAAGTCAGAAGATCTGGGTATACTCTTACATCTACCATTCCTGGCTGTCACTTCGGTCAATAGCTTAATGGTTTTGAGCATCAGTTTCTTCATTTATAAAACAGTTAAAATATATTGTGAGTTGTTGTGAGGTTTACAAGAGATAATACATATAAGAGCACCTGATATTTACCTTTCTTTACTCAAAAGCCTTCACAAGTTAGTAAAACATACAGAAAAGAATTGGATCATGCTATTTTTAAGGCTCTGAATTCTGGCAACTGACATCTTTAAAGCTATCAATTGATGTTAAGAAAGGTCATCAACAGACTGACATAAGAAATCCAAATAACATGTTGATATGTATTTGTCAAAGTGATGCTTTAAGTAGACTGGATGGTATGTTCCATGTAGTGGTCAAGGGGTTACCATAAACGGTTTGAAAAATGTCCCCATGAGATGGACAAAAATGTACTATTTTTAAACACACACTATTTTAATATTTGTTTGGTAAAAGTAATTCCAGTTAGTGAACTAGCATGAAAGTTCAACTATAGAAATTAGTCCATGTGTCGAAAAGGGAAATTTGCTCAGCCAAACTATGTCATTCCATTACAAGCTTTACCTAACAATGCCAACTACGTTTATAGTACGCATAGCATACTTCCTATGATTGTCACAGACGTCATGCTAAACGATGACTCTTATTCATTGGTCATAAATTTTCAGACAAGATAATACTGGGAGGCCCAATAAATTCCAGTGTTTTCTGTTGATCTTCCTTCCACCTTCCTGCCTCATCCTCACATGCTGTCTGGTATCCTTGTTTTCTAGAGAAAAATCTGGGTGTGCATTGGCTCATTTGTAAACCATCTCATTAATTTCCAATTCTGTTTAAACAAGCCTTAAAAAGAAATGTTATACAGCTTAGAAAAAGTACCTAACAGCTGATTTATCTTCAGCCGAATAATGTTTAATTCTAGGCTCATTTGTTCTTCCTTTAACCACTGTGACATGCCACAAAAGTATGTTTAATGTGTGCTTTGCTCACTTTTGTAATCTTAGCACAAACTAAATGTTCAATAAATCTCTGCTGAATGAACTGATGTTGTTTTAATTAGGACTAAGTTTAATTTCAATTTTTCCTCATATTTTTCTCCCAAAAGAATTTTTCACTTGTTAGCTTTAAAAACAACATATGGTCTAAAAAACTCCATGAAAGTATAAAGAGAAACTCATGCTTTTGAATTGAAGCCCTAACTCCACATTCTTTAAGTTGTGACTGACAACTATCTAAGGGTATAGCATGCTACAAGAAGGAAAAGGAAGAACTTTTTGATTTTCCTGTTAGGGGTACTCTGAGATCCGTCTCTTGCTTTCAGATAAGTAAAAGATTATGAGTCCCATTTTATAGTAGGTGCAATGGAATCACAGACTAAATAAATGGTTTATCTAAATTATACAGCAGAAGGTTATTAGAAATCAATCCATCTGCCCCCTAACATGGGATTTCTTGAACTATAGTCCAAACTCCAGAAGATCTGGATCCAAAAAAGGCAATTAGAAAGATGCTATTCCTCTGTAACTAGTCTATGAAGTTTCCATTTCTTCTACCTTAAATTTCTTTTTATTATTTTCTTTGCTAAATTGTGGATAGATTTGGGATTCAAGTGGGATTCAAGTGAGGACTCAGCAGTGAATGATTGTAATTACACATTTGAAGCGAAACTAGGAAAAGTAAAATCCCATTGTAGATATTTTAATAACATTATGCACATAGCATCTTTTTTTCTAGAGTGCTTTTCTACAGGGGAAAAAAATCCTATGTAAAAAAAAAAAAATCCTACTCCTATAAAGAAAGCAAACTGCGATTCTAATGAGAAATCTGAGATAGTGACACCAATAAAGGAAGTGAATTAAAATTCAAGGTTTTTTAGATTTTAGTGTAGGCCCTAAATCATCAAAGGCAGGGAGAAACAATGACTAGTCAAAAGATTATACACCTTTTCTAGTCAAGTATCATAGTAATCATTAATACTGTATAATTAATTTTAAATTCAGTCAATGAAGCCTCTGATGCTTTAAATTACTTAGCTGTGTTATCCCCTAGTACATATAAATACCTGAAAATTCCTTGAAAACAGGAAGGTGCAGAAGTGGAACATGGGGGAGCTTTGGCCCCTTGAGGCTAGGGTACCACCCTATTTTAACAAGTGATATTTGATATAAGCACCAGAGCCCAGCCATTATCCCTTTTATTAGTCTTTAAACAGTAATATAGAAACCAGAGCTTATAAAAGATAGGATCTCAGATGTATTACTTTATTTTGGAGGGAACATGGAGAAATAGGTAAGAACTGCTTTTGAACATATTGATAAAGAGATCTGTAAACACTGCCACTCCATCTTTTTTAAACCATTAGAACACCAGTAGCAAATTTTTATTATTTTCAATTTAAATGAACTCATTTCGCCTACATTCTGTGCAAATTAAACCATGTCTCCATAGCTATCATTTAAAATAAAATAATATTTTGCAGTTCACATTAGGTACAGTTACATGTAATTCCTGTCTTGATTCTTTTACCCTTAGTCTTTTCCAGTGTATTGGAATCTGTGCATCAGATAGCATAAGGCTTGCTGTTGCAAACATTAATAAGATCTATCATTTAGGAACAGTTACTTATACTTTGTTTAATCTCTAATGGAAAGGATTTCTCTAAATATTTACACCAGAACAGTTGTCAGAATGAATCCTGCAAAATTGCTGGCATACTCCCAAGAGCAGGGAACTGGCATGGGGGAGGGGAGATTCCTGGTCCCTGGTCCTATAATTTTAAGCAGCCCTAGAATTTCAGGGAGCCACTTGCTTGAATATGAAGGGTTTGTATTAACAAAAAGGTACTTCAGTGTGTAGACCAATTCAAGTAAAGTATCTCAACAGCCACTTTCATTTATTGCTCTTGTAAAAATGACCCTCCATTTGCTTCAGGTTTAAACTAAAGGGATTATTTAGATTTCAGAGACCCAGTAAATAAATTGTGTATGAGAAAAGAAACTTGTACAAGAGGTGTGAAGAAACGCCAAACTTACTCTGTTCAATGGCTCCCAAGGTGCTTAATATATAGAAATGACTTGTTGCTTCCATGAATTGCTGAGTGAGAGTTAGCATGCAAGACTTAGACAGGAGAGAATTGAAATCTGCCAAGATAAATGCAGCAGTGTTTTATAAATTAACTCAGCTGTCTGTGTGTTTATTTTTTCTTTGGAAGATTCCAAAATTAAGACTGTTCAACTCATCTTAGTATGGGTTTGGAATTTGGAGAGTATTTGAGGAAGTGCTTTGGGGCTAGGAAGGGTAGAGAAAATATCCTGCACTGGAAAATCTTGGCAAGTTTCATCTGAAATGTGTTCTTCCCTGAAGAGCAGTAGCACTTTTGCCCCTCAGCCTGTTAATTAAGTGGTTTGGTTAAAAGCTATTATAAAAAGCTTTCTGGGATTATAAGCTCTCCATTTATAGTAGGGGCAATATATTAAGTTCAGAGGTGGTTTTCAATGAATTTCTGAAATGTCAGTGAGATGTCCACATGGGTGCTGAAAATGGCAGTGTAGCCTGAAGTGTTTGGGAGCTCCTTTTTCTGGAACTCTCCTTTCCTCTATTAGAAATTAAACTTTGAGGTATGGACACATAAGGCTCACAAGTCTGAAAACACACATGAATCAGGGCTGGGTCCTGGAAGCACAGTGCTGGGTGGAATGGACATGCTATTGATTATTGATACTAGGGTCAATTATGCATCAACATGATCCTGCAAGTGTAACTGGCTTCCAAGGGAATCCCACTGATTTTTGTTTACAGCTTGGATCTACATCAAGCTCTGGACAGAACTGGAAATCTGGGGGGATGTCTCGGAAATGTGCTATAGGAAAGAGAGATTGCCCTTTCTTTGTGGAAGGGGCTAAGAGTTACCTTAAGAGTTACCTTGAGGATGGCATGAGGTGACCAGGTGAATGGAGGGCAGAGGGGCTGAGGATGCTACCTGTGGGCTTTTTCTCTTGTTACCAAACCGTAATGAAGGTCCTTTTGGACTTAGATCAACAAGTCGGTCATCAATTGGAAAAGCAAGACTGAATTCTGTAAGAAACAAATCTTCGGCAGCTCAATATGTGCTCATATAGTTTGTGGCCAAGCAGCATTTGTCTATATCTTTTTGTATTTCATGGCAGAAACGACATGCCATCAAAAAGTAGTGACACAAGTAAATACAGGTTACAGTCTTTTTTTAAAAGATTTTATTTATTTATTTGAGAGAGAGAGAGAAAGAGAATGAGCATGAGCGGGGAGGGGAAGGGCAGGGGGAGAAGCAGGCTCCTGCTGAGCAGGGAGCCCAATGCAAAGTGGGGCTTGATCCCAGGAACTTGGGATCATGACCTGAGCAGAAGGAAGACGCTTAACTGACTGAGCCACCCAGGCGCCCCTACAGGTTACAGTCTTGCTGCTAAGTTTTCAAAAATTAAATTCTTCTATTCTTAGATTGTCTCATGGTCAAATTCAAGACCAAAGAAAATCAAATACATAGTGCCACTAAATTGGTAATATCATATTGACTGCAGGTCACTGTAACTCTTCAGTGTGCACAGTGCAAGAGGTCAGGGTTTATTTGCCACATGTTACCTGGAGATTGCCAATTGCCAGAGAAGGCTGGTCAGAAAAAGAATCTGACTGCCTGCCTCTTTGTGGATTTACAAGAAGCAATATCAGCCATCCACATGTTTAAACAAAAAGAGCTAGTGATCCAGGCATAGGAATATTGAAACATACTGAAATTATTCTGAATTATAAAGGAATGTGAAACTTACCACATTTAAGGGCAGTGAACAGTGGCATCCTCACGTGAAGTAGACAGTCTATCTTTTCTGGATAGTGAGGCAATGCCAATAGTTTCAAAGGCGGACTTTCACTTAGGTTATTAAGCACAGATATATTTGTGCTCCGTGAATATTTTCCTATAAAAAGGTTTAACAATCTTCTAATTGCTAACATGTTGAAAGTTTAAAATTAGAGTGCCACTTATTGATAACTTCTCCTTAGCTCCTTACAGCATCACATTTCTAAATGGTCATAAGTGAGCTCTTGGCCCTTTTCTAGCTCTGGAGGTTTTAGAACCCCTGTCCTGGAAATGTACTACAATTTTCTTATTTCCAAATGTTACTTCAGTAATATTATATCTAAATTGACCTTAGGATGTTTACCAGGATCTCTTCCCTTCCCATCCTAGTCAGACACGTCTTTTACAAAGCCTTAGACTAAACTCCTTGGGTTCTTTTTATCTACTAAGGAAGGGAGGAGGAGAACTTGCAAGTGGAGACAGCAGGAGTTCTGTATGTGTGCATTTGCACCCCGGCAGGCAGACAAAGTGGTTTATAAGATGATGGTGATGTGACCTGTATGTGTATACCAGTGGCGTATTTCCATCTCTTGCCTGCTTAGGGTGAATAATCTACTGAAGAAAAAAAACTGGTGGAAAAGCATTGTTTTCTAGTGGATTTCCTGCTCTCCATAACTCATGATTGCTCCCAATCCTTAGGGACAAGTAACTAGGTCTGACCACGGAGCAATGGCTCAAGCGTGCTGTGATGACCTTCCTCCCAAGGAGCCTGGCTTTCCTCAGTCTAATTACTTTTGGCAATTGTGGTTATTGGGATTTGGCCTAGTGACTCACTAGAACCCAAATTCTCCCAAGGAGCCCCCTTAACAAGCAGAATTAAGTCTGACAGGAAGCCCAGACTTCCACTTCACTTTTACATGGAGATTTCCCTGGTTTATGACAAGGTTTGGAAATCCTTCATGGACTAGAAAGGAATAATAAATGAGATGTAATGAAGACAACCACCCAAAGAAGAGCACATTAGGAGAGAAGTAAAAGCAGTAAGTTCATGAATAAACAACCTACCACAAAACTTAACCCACTAAGATGGAGTTCAAACTATGTTATTTATAGTAGTTTTACTGATCAACAGTAGTCAATCTGAGGTTAGTCAGGAATTGTAGAAACTATAAAAGAAAAGAATGTTTATTTCTTGTTAGGCAGTTTTCTAACCATTATGAGTTTTCTAAAAACAAAGAGTACTCTAGGGCACATTACCAATTATCTAGTAAGACATGAAAACAGTTGTTTATCATTAAGTAGTTTTGAAAAAATTTTGGTATGGCTGATATCCCATCTTCTATCCATTTACTGCCTCACTCAACCACGGAAGGGTTCAGCAACAAGCACACTCACTCTGTTTGCACCTCACCCAGCTGCAATGTTGTTGTCCTATGAAGTCAGTGTCTGTTAAACTCAGTATCATGTCTTACTGTGTGCACTTTGCTCTTTTTTCTTAGACTCTTTGGATGAGACAATTCTCTATCAGATAATCTTGCCTGCACTAGTCAGTGCCACAAGTTTAACAATACTCTATTCATAAACAATATGAGGCTATCGGACTACTTTATATTTTAAACTACTATCTGCTCAGATGACGTGTATCTCATCTCTTACCACACCCCACACAAGTCCATTTTGTCTGTCTAACCCCCATGAAACTGGCATTGTTTTTAACAGTTGCTCAGCTGTAATAGCTATTCTTGAATTAAGGGTCTAATAGTAGTTCTCACTCTTGGGTGCAAAATCATCAGGACTACCTTGAAAATACAGTTGTCCAGGCCCCATCCCCAGAGATTGTTTCATTTGGTGAAGGGTGGAGTCTAGCTTTTTTTTTTTTAAGATCCCCAGGTGATTCTAATTTGAATTCAGGGTTGAAAATCACTGTACCAAGGCCCATAAAGAAAGAATTTAGAGTGAAGGTTACTGTTAATACTCATGGTAAAAGTAATATAAATAGCAGATTTTATGAAGCACCATAAAGATAACTTTTCTGGAAAACAAAAACTAGCCAGTGAAATATCTATTGTCGTTGTAAATTACATAGAAGGATTTTGATATTTAACTGCAAAATTATAGACTTTGCCACATCCTCATGCCTAGGTTAATCTTCTCTTGGATATGCACAGGGTAGATGAGAAGAATAATCTTAGAGTATTTCATATAAAATGTGCTGTTCTATTGCCCCTAAGGAAAAAAAATCAGCAACTTCTTACATTTAAAAACCATCAATAGGGTAAGTTTAAGGAAAGAGAGCAAAGGGGTAGAAAAAAGAGAAGTGGGAGAACGTATGAGAATACCAGAAGCAACCTCTATAGTAAATGTTTGGGAAACACTTGTGGTTTGTTAAATGATGAGGAAGAAAGAATGAGCAAAGAGAGAGTAAGGGAAAGAAAGGGTGAGGTGGGGTTTGAGAAAATGTACCTATGACTGCCTCATGTACTAATCCCAGTAGTTGAAGAGATGTGAAGAAATCAGGGAAGGACACCGGCTTTGAAGCCAAACCCGGACTGAAATCCCAGGTCTACCACATCTTTGTCGAGTGATCTCAGGTGACTAACATGGGGCTATTGGCACCTTCCTTACATGGTAACTGTGAGGACTAGATGAGATAACATTTGCACAAAAACATCAAATACAGGATCTAGCACTCACAGGTGATTAAAGCATGGCAACTATTTAAAAATGATCAGTATCTCAGCACTTACTTTAACAAATAAATATAAATGTGTAGTAAAATAACATATATATGAATATAACAGTGGCCCTCAGAACTATGAAACTATAGTTTGCTCAGAGGCACTTAGACGCATTTTGGCATAACATTTTTATCTCTTTCTTATCAGTAAAATGTAACTGATACTGCCTTTCCTTATATGACAGCCTTTGTCAAGATTACCATGTTCATACCTATGAGGTCCCTTTGTATAAGAAAAGAACATAACAATGAGAAACTAGCTTCTCTTTTTCTTACCAACTTATCAAGCATATGTTAAAAAAACAGTATTCTAAAATAAGCATCTCACAAATTCTGTTATTTTATATTGTGTGGTGGTTGTTTGTATTATGTGGTTATAAAATGGGGGCTGCTTTACCACTTACTTCAGGAATGTGCTTTGTATTGGGGTATAATTATAAATATGCTTACCAGCTAGTTTTCTGAGGACAGTTTTTGGGAGTGAATATAGTGCACTGCATTATTGTGTATTCATTCTAGAAAGATGTTTTAAGGTAACTGAATCTAATCCCATGCCCATGCCAAGTGCTCAGAAGATAACAAGGAGAATAAACACACTAGAAAATATTACCTGCTTTTTTTTTTTTTAAGATTTATTTATTTATTTATTTGACAGAGACAGAGACAGCGAGAGCAGGAACACAAGCAGCGGGAGTGGGAGAGGGAGAAGCAGGCTTCCCCCCGAGGAGGGAGCCCGATGTGGGACTCCATCCCAGGACCCTGGGATCATGACCTGAGCCGAAGGCATACGCTTAACGACTAAGCCACTCAGGCGCCCCAATATTACCTGCTTCTGATGCAGAAGGCCAATATTGAATTGGAGGAGAAAGAGGGCATGGGGCCTAGCTGTTACTAGGGCTGGATAATTACTTAGTGGGGATGTTGCAGAGGTAATCCACCCACTGTACAGATGGACTGGATTCCTTCAAGTTCCATCCCATCCTCAGAACCTCTTTTTGTAAGAGAGCACAATTTGTAGAGAAATCGGCTTGAAAGGAGAATGCCACTGTTATGAGTAGATGTTAGATCCAAATGGAATGATTAAAAAAAAGGGGGAAGGTATCTCTCATTATAATAAAGTTTTTCAAGTCTCCTATGATCTGTGGCAAAGTAATATAGTTCCACAGGTGAGGAGATTTCTAAGTATGATCTTTAGTTGCATGATTTGGCACCTTAAAATTGAAGCTCAGTGACCATTCTCTTATATAATACAAAGAGTACTATAAAAATGAGAGGCTTCAGTTGAGAATGATATATATAGACAAAGTACCTTAATGTAATTAATCTTATTTTGATACTACCAGTAAGAGTCTCAATGTCAGCTATGCGAACACTTTTAATAACAATAAATATGGCACCGCTAGATTTTATCTCATGCATTCAACTATCCCCTTTATAGGACTCCAAAATACTTATCTTCAGCCCTGATACTCTTGAGACTTTGATCCTGAGTTACTAGATGCTCTACTGGCCCTCAAAGTAAAGACAGCTCAAAAGAAAAATAAGTTTCCTACCAAGTCTGCTTCTCTTACTTTCCCATCTTTTTGTTTATCTCCATTACTTTTCCGTTCACCTAGATCTGAGTCCTTACACTACAAAGTCTGGTGCCAAATATGTCTCTCCATCTCTTTTCCCTTCATATCCAGTTAGTTGCCAAGACCCATACATTTGATCCATATACATTATCTGCTCTATACACACCCTTGCTCAATCAGTCACTACTATCATAACACAGGGCCTTATTATCGTAAACTTGGGCCATCACAATTGCCGCTTCCATACTAGCACAGGCCAGTTGACAGCCTGCCATGGGTGTGGGGGGCGGGGGTGGGGAGTGATTCTGCAGCATCTCTCTAGCTGGATTCCGAACCAGCTCCCTGTGACTCCAAGCCCAAGGACAAGATGGACCTGCTGAAGACTGATTATGCTGATCGATGCTATGGCTGTGTTTTTTGGGCACTAGATACTGTGAAGAGTGAGAAATATCATAACTAATTCCATCTTTACTTTGATAAGGTGCTTATTAATTAATCTTTATATGCATTTCCTTATAATAAATGAATATTTATATTTGTTTGCATTCTCAATCTTCATCCACTAAACTTGGTTGAAAAAGACAACTAAGTTTAGAAGAACTGTTTAACTATGACCATTTAAGTCATAGCAGGACTTATGTTTTCAGACCAAAAGATGATAAGTTGAAGAGACTATAGGAATCACTTAGACATAAATTTTTGACCGACTACCTTATTTCGCAGATGAGGAATTGCAGCCTAGTGTGGTAAAGGCACTTGCCTGGATTATTCAAATATTAGTAGCCGTGCTGGATCTGGAACCCAGGTCTTCTACTTCTCAGTCTACTTTTTCCCAACAGACACT